CGTAGGAATCCGTGTGCATACACGAGTCAATGAGTCTCAGCAAGCCAGCAGCAGACCCAGTACAGTGGTCTGATGTGCCTTTATTGTAGAGATTCTCTTTACTTTTCCGCTGAGCTTCAGCTTTCATCAAGGAGCCTGAGAAGCCCTGTTTCTGTTACTAACTTCTGCTCTATCTTGTGGTGCTCAGGACAAGGGTCTTTGTAATCCCCTGTGCCTCTGTAGTGTGGGACCAGGTAGCAGAAAAGCCAGAAGGCCAGAGACATGTGGGGGTAAGTGGACCTCACCTTGGCGTGGGCTGGGCCTGGGACAGCCGCAGAGCTTCAAGCTGCTTGTCTCACCTGTCTGGTCCTGGCTCGGAGAGGCTCAGTTCTTTATATATTCTAGATAGTGGTCCTCTGTCTGAGGTACAGCTGCTAAAAATTTCTTCCCACATTTTAGATTGTCTCTTAACTCTTTTGGTTTCTCTTGCCAGTGCAGAAGCTTTTTAATAAGATGAGACCCCAGTTGTTGATTCTTTGTGCCAGTTCCTGTGCTACTGAAGTTTTGTTCATAGTCTTCCTATGCCAGTGTCTTCAAGAGTACTACCTACCTTTATCTTCCAGCAAGTTTAGTGTTGCCTAGAGGTGTTCTTAAATTTACTTTTATACATTCCCAGGATCCCAGGCAATATCAAATGATTCTTACGTGTTTTAGCATATAGAGGAGAAAGTGTTACTGACCTACCATTGTGAAGATGAGAAGCTGAAATATTCTATATGATTCTGTGAATTAGTGACTAGTTTTGCTTTGAGATTGGTGCTGTGTGTGTGTATATTATTGTGGATTGAACTAAAAGCCTTTGCACTGAGCTACATTCCCAGCCCTTTTTAAACATTTTTTGAGTCTAGGGGTTTTTTTGTGAAGTTGCTTGGGCTAGCCTCCAATTTGCAGTTCTCCTGCCTCAGCCTCTCAGAGTGCTCGTATTAGAAGTAGAAGTGTGTGTCACTTTGTCTAGTTAGATTGGTACATCTTAAAATGTGTTTTATTCTCAACCATTTTTAAGTTAGAACACTTGTGTAATAGTACACAAGGTATTCACCATCTTTTATAGTAAACTGTCAGTTAAAACGCTGAAGGTTAAAAAATTGAGGGCCAGGGATTTAGCTTAGTGGTGCCACACCTGCCTCGCAAAAGTTGAACCAGGTGTAGCAGTATACGCCTGTAGTCCCAGCTACTTGGGAGCTGAGGCAAGACGATTGCTTGAGTTTGAGACCCACCTGAGCAAAATGGTGGGACACTGCCGTAATTGAATGAATGAATGGTGAATGAATGAGTGAATGGAAAGTAAGATTGAGTACTTTTTTCATTTGTACTGCTATAGCATGTCTGTGTTTTCTGACTCCTATTTCTCATTTTTTCCAAATTTAAAGTAAATCCTTTTTGGGGGGGGGGTCGGGGGACAGGGTCTCACTGTGTATGTGGTTCAGACTGGCCTCGAACTCATTATGTAGCCCAGGCTGGCCTCAAAATCATGGTGATCCTCCTGCCTCTGCCTCTCAAGTGCTGGGATTACAGGCATGTGCCACCATGCCTGGCAACAAATCCAATTTTGATAGATACATTTCTCAAATGTAGGATAACAAAGAAGTTGTAGACATTCTAGTAAAAAAGTTGTGCATATAGGGCCGGGGATTTAGCTCAGTGGTTCAGGTGCCTGCCTCAAATGCAAGGTCCCGAGTTCGATCCCCAGTACCAAAAAAAAAAAAAAAAAGTTGTGCTTATGGTGGTCATGGGTACCTTGCATTCTCCTTGGTACTTTAGGGTAATGGTTAGGAATGCATTTTGCGTTTAAAGTCACAAGCTCAGTGATTTCCTTGAATATTAAGCGTATTCACATGAATTGCTTCTTGAGTTTGAAATGAGTATCATGTGATATGTGTGACTCACTCAAAAAGTGCTTCGGCACAGCTCCTGTTAGGCAGGCACAATGGCAGACCATATAGGTCCACAGTGGGAGGAGGAAAGACATTAGAGAAATAGACCCCCAGATTCACATGTAATTACACATGTAGCCTCCTAGGCCACTTAGGATTTCATCCATGTTCTATGGTTAGGATTTCATCCTTTATTATGAAAATTTCTTTCTTTTTTTTTTTTTTTTTGATACCAGGGATCAAACTCGGGTCCTTGCGCTTTCGAGGCAGGTGGCGGAACCACTGAGCTAAATTCCTGGCCAAAAAGTTCTTTAATTAAAATAGAAAATTTTATGGAAATTGTAGAGTTTTTTTCTTTCTTCATTATCTTCAAGGCAGGTGCTTTTTGGGGTTTTTTGGGGGGTTTTTTTGGGGGTTTTTTTTTGGTACCAGGGATTGAACTCGGGACCTTCTGCTTGGGAGTCAGGCGGCAGCACCACTGAGCTAAATCCCCAGCCCCAAAGCAGGAGCTTTTAATACCATATCCTGCTTCCTTCACCATTTATGAAACTTTAAAATATTCAGGCTATGCCCTAATTCTATAATTTTTGAACTTGTTACACTAAAGGAAATAAGTTTACTTCTGAGTTGAGGACTAAGTTCAAATATAAAAACTCAAATGATCTTTGGCAGTAAAAATTGCTTAAATACTCAAGTAACCGAAGTGGGAGAGGGGAAGTAACTTAATAACCTGTTAGAAGAACCCCCATGTGCAAGTTGGAACTAAAAGCCATCCTGTGACCTTTGAGAAAAAAGTTAGTAAAGAGTTCTACCAAGTTCTAAACAAGCCCAAATAATATACTATATTGCAAAGAAAAGGGAAGAGTGAGTTAGCTATGGTGGCAAGCGCCTGTAATCCCAGCATTCTTGGAGGCTGAGGCAGGATGATCACAAGTTCAAGGCCAGCCTGGGCACCTTAGCAGCCTAGCAAGACCTTACTCAAAATTTTTAAAAATACAAGGGGAGGGGGTTGAAGATGTAGCTCAGTGTGAGGGCCTTGTGTTCAATACCTAGTAACTCAAAATAGAGAGTATACAACCTTTTACAGAACTACAAGATTGGAATCTATAGCATTCACGTGTAATTTTTTTTTTTTAACAGTAAGCTACAAATCGTATTTCAAATTAAATGACATGTTACCAGATTTACCTCAGAATATTCTCTACTGGGTTTAAAACTTTGTTTTGAATAGTACAACTCTGCTGAAAAGATCTGTTTAAAAAAAAGAATGGCCAAGCAGTGTCACTTCTGGTACCATAAGCTTGCTGAACTGTACCTATGAAGGTCTGATCCAACCCATAGCAGCTAGCAAAGAGCTCTGTTTGAGTAAGGGTGTTGGCTGACTCGTGAGTTGTCGCTAAAAATAAAAAGTCCTCTACTCCTAAGAGGCAAAAAGGATGTTGGATGTTGGCACAGTAAGCTCTAGGCATTTTAAACCTCATCAGTAATCAATGTGGTCTATCTGATGTGTTTGAGACAGACTGTTGATTTAGAGGAGCTTTTCTCTGCATGGTCACTTAATTTTTAGATACGCTGAGATCTGTTTGAACTCATAAGAATTTTCGTTTTCCAGAAATTCAAAAGTGTAATATTTTTAATTTTAATAATTTTTTGTGTGATGAGGTCCTGATGTAAAATAAATTAGTTTTTGTACTATTAATGGTAGCAAGTACAAGAACATATGATTATACATAAGTTGGAATTTTGAGCATCTGTGGACTACTGATCTCTAAGATTGTATGTAGGTAGCAAAAATAGAAGAATACTGTACATCATCCATATCACTTTAAATCTCTACTGCACCAGCATTTTAGATGGATTTAACTGCTGTGGTGGAGTCATACTAGGACTCTTGTCAAATTGCGTGTAGGAATATGGGTTTACTTTTAGTAATGAAACATTGAGTGTTCTGTTTTTGTTGCTTTCAGGCTGGGGAGAGTGCACTGCCTCATGAATTTGTGGAAGGTGTGGAGGGAGTTGCAGGTGGTTTTATTTACACTATTCAGGGTAAGTTGATTGGAAAGCATATGGAACCTCATATACCTAATATTAATACTCTGATGTAAAAGATGATGTCTTGTAATTAAAGGAGTAAGTTTATTGAGATAAAATTCATACACTCTATAATTCACCTTTTAATGTGTTCAGTGGATTTTGGTATATTCAGAGTTCTGCAGCCATTTTCTCTAATTCAAGAATATTTCCATCACCCCAAAAAGCACCCCCACACCTATTAGCAGTCATTTCCACATTCTTCCCTTCTCCTTAACTATCAGAGTTTGATCAGTCCTTTGACAGTGCCTAGAAAGGGGGACAGTGAGGGCGAAAGAATAAAAGACAATGGAGACTTAAGTCATTTCAAAGTATATGGGGGGCCGGGAGGTCAGTGCCTCAGAGCGGGCAAAGACAAAGACTCTCCAAGCTTGCCACTATTTATTGGTTTCATAGGGAGTATCAGATGACACAGAGGGCAGCGATAACCCTAAATTCACGAGGATCTTATAATCGGAGGGTGAATCAGATGTCTCAGAGGGCAGCAGTAATCCTAGATGAGGATCTTATGATGATGAGGATCTTAAGACCATGAGGAGTTTTATGTGGATTAGGACAGTGAGATGAGCAAAATATTCTTACAGCAGTAGGTGGGATGAGTTAGGCTCATAAGGAGCTTGTCCCTCCTCAGGTGAAATCTTTATCTTTTTGTATTACTACTCGGTTCTTTTTATTTTATTTTATCCCATTCCCACCCTGAAGCCGCCCCCTTCCCTCCCTATGTACAAGAGCTTTGTTTTCATTTTTTCCTTCTATTTTCACTTTTTTTCTTGTCCCTTCCTTCCTTTCTCCCTCCGTCTTCCCTTGTTCCCCTTCCCATTTGAATACTTTCTTCCCATTTCCCAACATCCATTATACATTTCAGGTTTTTTTTCACTGAAGAGTATTGCCTCAAGGTCCATCCATTTAGCTATAACTGTCTGAAGTTCATCTTTCTTTATGGCAGAGTAATACTCCATTGTATAAAAAACCCACATCTTCTTTATCCACTTGTCACTTGATGGGCACTTGGGCTATTTCTAAGATTTAGCTATTACAAATTGTGCTGCTATAAACATGGGGTGCACATATATCACTGTGATATGCTTTTAATTCTTTCAGGAAGATACCAAGAAGAGGTATAACTGGGTCAAATGGAACTTCTAGTTTTAGTATTTATAAAAAATCTCCACACTGATTTCCACAGTGGTTGTACCAGTATACACTCCCACCAATAGTGGAGAAGGGTTCTTTTTTCCCACAGCCCCTCTAGCATTTGTTATTGGTTGATTTCTTGATAACAGCCATTCTTTCTGGGGTGAGGTGGAATCTCAGTTGTTGTTTTAACTTGCATCTCTCGAATGACCAGTGATGTTGAACATTTTTTCATATATTTATTTGCCATTTCTAATTCTTCATCTGAGAAGTGTGTGTTCATTTCAGATGCCCAGTTTTGGATTGGGTCTTTAAGTTGCGGGGGGGGGGGGTCTGATTTTTTTGAGTTCTTTATATGTTCTAGATAATAGTCCTTTATCTGGTGAAAAATTTTTTCCCACTCTGGGTTTTCTCTTCACTCTGTTGGTGGTTTCTCTTGCCGTGCAGAAACTTTTTAATAAGATGAGGTCACAGTTGTTGATTCTTTGTAATATTTTCCATGCAGTCTGGGTTTTGCTTGTGAAGTCTTTGCCTGCTCCTATGTCCTCAAACGTTCTACCTGTTCTCTTCCAGCAGATTTCATGTTTCTGTTTTAATGTTTAGATCTTTGCTCCATTTTGATTTTAGGTTAGTGCATGGTGAAAGATACCGGTCTAGTTTTAATCTTCAGCTAGTGGAAAGCCAGTTTTTCCAGTACTATTTATTAAAGGGGCTGTCTTTCTTCCAGTGAAGGTGTTTGATTCCTTTCTCAAAGATAAGGTGGCTGAGTATGTCTGGAGTTGTTTCTGCATCTTCCAATCTGTTCCATTGATCCTCTGGTCTGTTCTTTTGCCAGTACAATGCTGTTTTCATCACCGCAGCTTTGTAGTATAAAGTCAGGGATTGTGATGCCCCCTGCTTTGCCTTTGTTGCCCAGAATTGCCTTTGCTATTCTAGGTCTCTTCTGGTTCCAAATGAATTTTAGGATTGTTTTTTCTAATTCTGTGAGATATGCTGTTGGGATTATGATTGGAATTGCATTGAATCTGTGTAACAATTTTGGAAGTATGTCCATTTTCACTGTGTTGGTTCTTCCTACCCAAGGGTAAGGGATATCTTTCCATTTTCTGATATCCTCTTCAATCTCCTTTTTCAGAGTGCTGTAATTTTCATTGCAATTTTTTCATTGTAGTTTTCATTGATTCCTAGGTATTTCATTTTTTCAGATGCTATTATGAAAGGGATTGTTTCTCTAATTTCTCTCTTCCTGAGTCTGTTATTCGTGTACAGGAAGGCTATTGATTTTTGAATGTTGACTTTGTATCCAGCTGTGCCACTGAATTTGGTTGTCAAATCTAGGGGTCTCTTGGTGGAGTTTTGGGGGTCTTTTATATGAAGTATCATGTCATCTACAAACAATAATAATTTAACTTTTTTCTTTCCTATCCTTATTCCTTTTATTTCTTTCTCTTGTCTAATTGCCCTGGCTAGTGTTTCCTGAACTATATTGAACAAGAGTGGTGACAGTGGACATCCTTGTCTTGTTCCTGATTTTAGAGTGAAAATTTTCAGTTTTTGTCCATTTAGTATGATGTTGGCTGTTGGTTTGTCTACTACTAGGTTCCTAAAGAACCAGGATGTCTTCAGCTGATGTAATTTTGCCCTTTAGCATCACAGCATCACAGAACAATTGAGGCCTCAGATAGCCCTAATTATAATTTGTGAGATGTTTTTTCCCCAGAAATTATGTAGCATGACTACTGACACTTAACAACCAGTCATCTACTTTCATTCTTTCTGAATTTGCCTACTTTGACTATTTCATGTATGTGGAATCATACATATGGTTCTTTTTTTTTTGGTGTTTTGAGACAGGGTCTTACTATGTAGTTGAGACTGGCTTGAACTCACTATGTAGCATAGACTGACCTCAAACTTGCAATGATCCTCCTGCCTCAGCCTCCTGACTGCTTTGATCACTGGCATGCACCACTATGCCCAGCCATACATATGATTCTTGTGTCTAGCTTCTTAGCATAATATTTTCAAAGTTCAGTTCTACTATACATACACCAATACTTCACTCTGTTTTATCACTGTGTAATATGTTGCATGCATAGTACTACATTTTCTCCATCTGATTGATAGACATTTGGATTGCTTCTTTTGGGTGGCAGTTATGAATAATTTTGCAGTGTGGCCATATATTTTCAGTTCTTGTTAAATAGCTGGGAGTGGAGGTGCTTGGTCCATACAGTTATTCTGTGTTCAACCACTTCAGGTACTGCCAGACTACTTTCTAAAGCAGCTCACCTGTTTTACATTTCTATAATCAATGTATGGAGGTTCCAGTTCCTCCACATCCTCAACACTTACTATTGTCTTCACATCCCAGTAGGTGTGGAATAGTATCTCACTGTGATATTGACTAGTTTTTCATAAAGACTGATGATGTTGAGCATGTTTTCATGTATTTATTGACCATTTGTATATGTTTAAAGAAATATTGGGCCAGAGATTTAGCTCAGTGGTTTCACCGCCTGCTGTGCAAGCACAAGGACCTGAGTTCGATCCCCGGTACCAAAAAAAAAAAATCTATTCAGATCATTACCCATTTGTAAAATTGGACTTTTTTTTTTTGCTACTGGGGATCAAACTCAGGACCTTGCTCTTGTGAGGCAGGCGTGATGCCGCTGAGCTAAATCGCCAGCCCCTAAAATTGGACTATTTATTTTCTTTTTTAATTAAAAGAATTCCTTATGTATTCTGGTTACAAATACTCTTATCAGATATATGCTTTGCACATATTTGATGTCATTCTGAGGTTGTCTTCACTTTCTTGATGGTATTTAAAATACAAAAGTTATAAATTTTGACAAAGTTCAGGTTTGTCATTTGTGTTTTTGGTATCATATATCTAAAGAATGTCTAATCTGAGGTCACAAATATTTATAGCTTTGTTTTCTTCTAAGAATTTATACTTTTAACTTTTACATGTAGGACTTTGATCTGTTTTGTTTTTGTATACTGCATGAAGTAAACACATTCCTTTGTATGTAGATACCAGTTGTCCCAACGTCACTTGTTGAAAATCAGGCCGGGAATTTAGCTCAGTGGTTTTGCTGCCTGCTGTGAAAGTGCAAGGACCCGAGTTCGATCCCCGGTGCCAAAAAAAAAAGAAAGAAAGAAAATTAGTGATTATGGGAATATAAATTCGTACAATCTTGATGGAAAACAATGTGGCGACTCCTTGAGAAACTAAAAATAGAATTACCACGTGATCCACCAATCCCATTTCTGAATATCCAAAAGATTTGAAATGAGTGTATTGAGGAGATGGCTGCATTCCCATGTTCATTTCTGCACTATTCACAATAGTCAAATTACCCAATGAGGATAATTCTGGGCTTCACAAACCCATCCCTTACTTTTCTACTGTAAATTTTCACTTTAGCGTAATAATAGCTGGCTGTGCCTGATACCTTTCCCTGAGGAATACAGGAAGCAATCTTTGTGTTTACCCACTTGGTAAGATGAATGCCAAGGTGTGTACACCTGTGCAAAAGTGTCAAACCAGGATTTTCACCCACATTATGCTCTGCCTAACAGGTTTTGTTTATGTTTACAGCATCATGCAGGGTATAATACACTCACACCACTCTAGGATTTGTTTTTTTAAAAAGTTATCTTTTGATTTTTCTGGTAGAGGTAGCCCAATTCAGTACAAAGGCACATGAAAAGCCAGATTTGCAAGTTTTAGAGCCGGTCAAAAGTGAATCATCAGATTACTCATGCATGGATAATGAAGATGATCTATTATGGTAAAATACGTTTTCATAACA